TATATATATATATATATATATATCTTGATAATGTTAGGTATATAGAAGATAGAGATCAAGTTACTTAGTCATCAAGTTACCATACCTCATACCATAATTATCTCCTGTAATTGTGTAATTATCCTCTATATATAGAGGCACTTATTGATGTAGAGGTCTTCTGGTCACATCGTAATGGAGTTGTACGCTGATGTTGTTCCTCACACAGTGCTTTGATTGGGTCAAATGAGCTTCTTCATTGTCGTCTTCTTTGCATAAGGAGAAACGTGGTGATTCATTGAAAGATTCAAAATTTCCTACTTTTAGGGAGTCTATGACAGGGACTACTAGACCCTTTGTTCATCATGTATATCGACATCTTACAGATAATGCTAGAAAGGCTTTGCAGTATTTCCTTGGCACGAAGAGGCATGCTTCATTAGACCTCCTTTTTAAGTGGGTCACTCGTACGTTTGATCGGAAGCCTTCAATGCTCTTCGATGGCGTTTACGCGCCAGTAATGGCGCAACTAAAAGATGTAACCATGCTTATCATAGGCCGCATCCTATTTGTATTGGAGTCGTATTTGCAAATCAGTCTATTCCCCTGTACCTATTGGAGATGGCACCCGGGAAGCTTCGGGTGGGGGTAAGGCTCAAGGGGGTTCAATAACGGAGAGGTGCCTCTTGGAGATTGTTTCTCTCTCTAGCTCTTATTCCTCGTATTCACAAATTCCTCATATTCATAAAGTTGCGCCAATTTCTTCATTGGAGATGGACAATTAGCTCTCTGCAAAGAAGACAACAGCACTACCAACGAGATCAAATCGATGGGTCCTCGGAGGGAATTGTGCTCTGATACCATGTTTGAATTCATGCGAGCATACATGTACAAACATTGAATGAAGAGAGAAGAAGATAGAACACAACATTTACATGGTTCAGGCTGAAGCCTTACGTCCATAAATCCAAAGCCTAACTGGCTATGTCTTCATTATTTATTTTGGATAAATGGTTACATCAATAAGTGCCTCTATATATAGAGGACAATCACACAATTACAGGAGATAATTATGGTATGAGGTATGATAACTTGATGACCAAGTAACTTGGTCTCTATCTTCTAAATATCTAATCTTATCAAGAGATATATACATATATATCTATAATGATGTATATCAATATGGACTCGAGATATCCATATCTCAACACGTACAACTTCTTGTTCTCTTTGTATTGCATAGTCACTTGCTCTATAGAAAACAGAGCCCATGCTAATAACCAAGAAAAAACCATTAAGCTTAATCAATTAACTAAGGGTGTGGTTTGTATAAGTATGAGGGTTTAAACAATCAAAATAAAGTGCATCTTCAAATAGTGTTGAAAGATATTGTTTCAGTACGTAGTGACAAAAAAAAAAAAGTAGTTTCAATACTAAAATTTTTGTGATAGCCTTATAGTTTCTTTTTATAGCTAAGTACAAATTTTAAAGCTTTAAAAATAATATATATCGAGCATATCTATGAACACTTAAAAATCTTGAAAATTAATGGTCCAGAAATTGCATTACAAGATGTACTATTTTGAATACTTGAAATCTATTTTTTCTCATTTCCATACATATTGAGGCGGAGATGATCGATTTGATGATTTTTGGTCATCCAAACAACCTTTTCTAGTGAATTTTTTAAGTACGTCTTAATTTCATTGATTAGGGCCAGACTCTAATATAAACTTTTTCCACTAGCTAATAGCTTTCATTTTTCAGCTAAAAGGTATCACCTGGGCGCTCTTAAAACCTCACATCTCTTCCGGCAAAAACCAAAAACCAGTTAAAAGACAGAGAACGAAAAAGAAGCAAAGAAGCTAGAGAGAGGAGCGAAACCACCTCAAAAATTTCACTAGGAGAGGTTGTTTTGATGCTCAAATATATCATTTCGACATCAAGATGCATGGACATAAGAAAAAAATGGATTTCAAGTTTTAGAATAATGCATTTTCATCAATTTTCAAGATTTTCAATTTTTCATAGATCTACTCGATCTATACTATTTTTGAAACTTTCAATTTTATAACTTAAAATAAAGATATATTTTAAAGCCATCACAAAAATTCCCAGTATTAAAACTAAATTTTTTGATACTATTTGAAAGTGTGCTTAAATTTGATCCTCAACCCTGTACAAACCGCACCCCTATGAAATTTTAATAAGAAGATGGGCAAATTAATGAGTTGCTCTTCTAGAAAAAGCCACGTGTCTATAGGAGACCATAGTCAAAATTAAAAACTAAGAGTTCAATATCATAAATATAACAAAACCGTGTCCTTTTCCCTAAGGCATATTTGTGATCACAGATGACGATATACGCACATGCTCTCCCATAAAAAGACGGGAGAGAAAGAAGAGGGTGAGATTAATTTGAAGAGGTATGGCACTTTCTAGAAAAACAAGGCATCCCCGTTGTTACAATAAGAGACTTTCGAGGTGCTTTTGTTTTCAAGTTTAAGAAACCAATGAGTTTGTTTGGATAGGTATGTGCATATTTAATAACCTTATTGTTTATGGATAAGAAACTTAATCTGTCTGTTTCCTTAAGTATACGGATATTTAATAAACTGTATGAGTTTCTCTATTAATAATTTGGTTTAGCAATGGGCCGGGCCTGTTTTTAATAGAAGTATTTTAAGTTTTTAATAAAATATGGGGTTTCTACGTATGCAGTTTAAAGATGGATTTTTTATCTAATTTTTTTGTCGATTCATTATCTAGGGCAAGGTGATCATGAATGTGGAGGCAAATAAAATTTTAAATTTATTTTTTGATTTTTTTTTGTGCACTGTTCATATGTTATTTATGAACGATTATACTTTACACAATGTCCATATTTAGGATGAACGATTGTGAGTCATCAGGCTCTTGCGCTTTTAGAGAAGGATAAAATGGAGAGCCCCTACCCTCGAGCTGTGGTTGCCCAGCGTTGGCCCTAAGTTGGACCGGCGCATGTGGCTCATTGTGACGGTAGACTTTCGGTAAGGTTCTTGCGCTTTTATTAAAGGAAAAAATAGACAACCCCTACCTTGGGCTGTGGTTGTCCAGCCTTGGCCCTAATCAGTCTTAGCCCTAGTATTTTTGGGCCAGTCTGATCGGGCTAGACCGGGCCACGAGACTCATTACCGCTTTTAAAACTTTTTTTCTTTTTTAGAGTAATTCAATAAAAAAGACAATCACCTACCTATTTTTTAGAATAGTGTAAGAGTCACTTTTTTTTAAAAGTAATAATGGGGTGGTGTCAATGCGAATGAAAACAACAATACAGTGATTAAGGTGTGGGGGTTCTACAACGACAACGCCAACCCCTTCCCCCATTCCCAGCCCTAAACTAATAAATGCTATTATTCATTTGGTTTCTTTAATAAATCATGTTTTAAGGAATGCCCATTGTTTCATTTCTTTTATTACATCGAATACATAACACGTGCCTCGTAAGCCCCCTCTTAAAATTATGAGAAATTATCATAAATATATCTTATTTTTTCGTATATTTAAAAAAAAACATTAAACTTTTATAAACCTTGTGTACATTTTTTTTTTTTCAATTTGGCTTTTTTTTTTTAACCAAAATAACCTTCACGGTAATCGTATTACTGTGAAGTACAATTATGGTACTTAAAGTACCGTAAAAACTAAATTATTATATGGCATTTTAAGTACCGTAAAAACTAACCCGTGTAATATGGCATTTTACGTACCGTAAAAACTAACCCATGTAATACGGCATTTTAAGTACGATAAAAACTAACGGCACCAAAAAATACAGTAAAAAGCTAACCCACGGCATTTTAAGTACGATAAAAACTAACGGCACCAAAAAATACAGTAAAAGCTAACCCATGTTATACGGCACTTGAAATGCCGTAAACCGTCGTCTACAAAAATTAAGATATATTTGTGATAATTTCTCTAAAATTATTTTTTATATACACAATCACCTTGGAAAAAAAATTTCCCCAAATCAAACCAACAATATCAACGCTTAGACACCAACCGAGTTGTCTCTGAGAAACAAAGAAATTTCTCAAAATAATCAGACCCCAAGCCTTGAAGCTCCACCCCAAAACCTTCCTTCCCCTTCCCCTTCCCCTTCCCCTTCCCCTTCAAAGCTGCTACTCGAGCTAGCTGAGCTCACTGAGCAGTCTCTCCCCAGTCTCTGCCTCTGCTGCGAGCTTATTTTCCTCTCAATGGGAGCCGGCTTTCCTCGGGAGCCAACCAACGCGGTCGCGACGACATAGGCCGGAAAGTTCAGAAGAGCCTTAGGCCCACGCATCTTGAACGCCGCTTTGTCGTAAGCCATCGCCGCCTCTTCCGCGGTGTCGAAGGTGCCCAACCATACACGGGCGCCTTGCCTCGAAGAATCGCGTATCTCCGCCGCGAATTTCCCCCACGGCCTCCTCCTGACTCCTCTGTAATGCCGCTTGTTGAGCTGCTGACCGGTCTGGTGTGCCGTCGGCGTATGCTCTCCTACCGAGACTTCATGATGTCTGCTCTGCTGATGCTGCTGCTGCTGCTGCTGCACCTCTTCTTCTTCTTCCTTCTTTGGTGACCACCCTTTGCCAATGGCCTCATTCAAGACATCAAAGAGGATCATGTCGAGAGAGTCGTTCTCGTTAAGTGGAAGCTCAGAAACTCGCATGTGCGGGTCGCGGGAGGCTTTATTAAGGGGAACCATTTTTCTCTCAGATTTCAATCCTTTGGTTATGCTCCCCTTCTACTTTATTTGTATCAAGTCGAACATGTGTGAAAATGGGGAAGATGAGGGGAAGCTTCCACCATTCTTTGCTTAGTATTTTTTTTTTTATGAGGAAATTGAAGGTGCGGAAACCTCTCTTTTCACTTTCGCTCGCATTGCTTGACCAATGTGACGTTTAAGCAATGAGGTCATCGATGAGATATTGTTGTTTCTTATTAATGGGTTCCGCATCAAAACGGTTTTCGGATTGGACAAGGTTTAAAAAATATCAGTGACCCGGATCGCCCATCTAGAAAATTAGTGTTTGACGAGTCCGCTCGGACTTGCCTGGGTGGCGAGCGAGTTTACCCATGAGTTAGATGTCCAACTTGGGGATTTTAAAACAAACTTTAAAAAAAATTTAAAACATAAAAAATCTTTTTGTAAAATGTTTTTTTTTTTTTATATGTGTTTAATCATTTTGACAAAGACTATGAAAACTTTTTTTACATTTTTCCATCTTTTGTAGATTATTTAGAAAAGGGCACGGTTTGTATGGAACGTAGGCTCTAAACAATCAAATTAGAGCCTACCTTCAAAGACTATTGAGAAATGTTGAGAAATGTGGTTTTAATTCTGAAAATCTTTGTGGTAGCCCTAAAATATATTTTCATCTTTATTTATAAAGTTTAGAGCTACAAACATAGTGTAGATCAACATATATATGAAAAATTGAAAATCTTCAAAATTGACCGTCCAAAAATGTTACAAAATACACTATTTTCAAATCTTGAAATCTATTTTTTTCTCATGTCCATGCATCTTGATGTCGAGTTGATCAATTTGAGGATATTTGGGAATCAAAACAGGCTCTAATTTGATTGTTTAGAGCCTCGGCTCTACGTAAATTTTTCCCTTTAAAAAAGGGATTATCTACAAAGAGACCATTTATTTTTGGTACAATAGGTCACAATCATTTTTGTCCTTTAGATTTCAAAATGGGTGGTTGCATGAGTGTCATTGATTAAACATAAAGTTAAAAAAAAAAATTTATCAGACTTCAAGACTAACCCCAAGCCATCTAATTTAACATCTAATGAGTGAGAATGATTGTGACCTCCTTGTACAAAAGATAAATGATCTCTTTGTACAATCATTTTATAAAGTACTCGATGTCAAAAAGTGATGTTTAAAAATTTCTTTTTTTTATTACTTTTTTTTAGCCTTATGTAGATTTGTTTTGTTTAATCTTATTTTAAATATGGGTGCGGTTTGTATAGAGCAGAGGCTCTAAACAATCAAATTAAAACCCACCTTCAAATAGTGGCGAGAAATGGGGTTTCAATATTGGAAATCATTGACTAGCTTTAAAATGTATTTTCATCTTTAATTACAAAATTTAAAGATTAAAAAATAGTGTAGTTCGAGCAGATCTATGAAATTTTGAATAACTTAAAATTGACAATCCAAAAATACGTTACAACTATTTTCAAAACTTGAAATCCATTTTTTTTTCAAGTCCATGTATATTGATGACGAGATGATCAATTTGAGGATATTTGAGTATCAAAACAACCTCTTCTAGTGAAATTTTGAGGTAGGCTCTAATTTAATTGTTTAGAGCCTAGGCCCTATACAAACTTTGCCCTTTAAATATATATATTTCCTATTTCTTACTTTTGTGTTGTATTTTTTTTATTTTTTTTTAGCATTATTTAGCTTGAATAGTACTCGGCCCAACTCAGGCCGAGTTAATCGGACTCAGTTAGAGAACTCCGCTCAACCTTGGGCCAAGAAAACCAGTCCGACTCGATGGCTCACCAGTCTAGGTCAACGGATCAGCAACTTCGCTCAGTGAACCGGTCAATAAAAAATTAACAAATAGATGAAAATTTTTGAAAACTTATTAAAAAATAAAATTGAGATTGGGTCTCAGATAGAACGAGCCAATTCCAATGTCAAAGAATAAGTCGGTTACTAGCTTAGCGTAACCAAACCGCCCGTTCCAATCCGAACTGGTCATATCCGATCCGGTTCGCCTTTTTGCGAAACACAAGGGGTCAAAGAAAAGTTTGAATATTAGGCAGCGGTTGTTGATATGATGATGATCGGTGGGGACAGATTGTGTCCATGTGCGATGTTAGTCTACAGAGGGGGGTCAAAGTAAAACTCTCGTGCATTGCGAAAACCCACTTAACGGACGAAACTTGGACAGCTTTTCTAATGCTTACGTATGTCGTCTCTCATCGGCTCCCTCTCTCTCTAGACTGGAGAAAACCAAATTCCCCCCTCCCTCTCTTCCAAATATAATGCAGGAAAAAGTTTATACACGGTGTAAACCTTACATTGTGCAAGTAAGGTACACCTAAAATCGGTAATCTCGAACTCTGAGATTTATATATGAGTATAGTCTAAAAAATATCTCATTTGCTAATACATTTTTTGGACTATCTATTTTCAAGATTTTTAAATATTTATAGCTCTGTTTAATAATCACTACTTTTTAAACTTTAAATTTCATAATAAAAAAAACAATAAATTTTTATAATATTGTAAAGCTTTGCCGCACCAAAACTACACTTTCAATATAGTTTTGAAGTACACTTTACTACAATAATATAACGTTGACACCTTATACAAACCTCACCCCATAAAAACGATGCGAGAATACTGGGCGATTTTGAGTGGTTATGACACAATGAACCTGTGAATGATGTGGGAGAAATTAAGAAAAGTATTGTGGCGTAAAAGCTGATCCTATGGGAATAAATTATTAAGAAAAGTATTACGTCCATGTGGCATTCTACGGGAATAAATTGTGTGTTTGATCTAGCAGGCAACGGGAATAAATTTTGTGTTTGACTCAGCATGTAAACTTTAATTCGTAAGATTTGGGTCGTAGTAGTAGCACCCCCACAGTCCCACCGACACCACCCTATTAACATCTTCAAAAAATAACTTACTCTTAAACTATTTAAAGATATAGATAGGGCTACTTTCTCTCTAAATTACCCAAAAAAAATTCTCCTAACATGAAATTTACTGTTTATTTTTTGATTTTGTAAGGGGTATTCTAATATTTAAAATTGAAGTTTTGGGTCTGATCGTCCACTCCATAGCCAATTTTAAAATGGAACTTGATTAAGAAATTTTTAACTAAGTATTTTTTTTTATGGAAATTTTGAACTCAATTATTTTTTTATGGAAATTTTTAACTCATAATTACTTCTTTGCAATGTTGGTCATTGATGTGATTAAAAATGATTTAGAGTGTTTTGGAATCCCTTAATTAAGTTTGGACACGGTTTTGGTGAGTCAGCCGACTCATCTGTTACCATGCAGTCCCTTGTCTAATCTAACGCCAATCTTTAAGATGGACGTCAAAAAAATGTTACATCCAGTAAATGGATGGTGAAGAAAGGAAATCACAAAATAACATTTATATTTTTTGAAACATAAAAATTCCAAATTAAGTTCATTGTCATGTTTGAGATTATCGAACGCTAAAATTTTGGATCGAAGGCATAGTTTTGAGTTTGTAAGGAGACCGCACAAAAATCGTGTGAGTCGGCTAAATACTTTTCCATGAGGTTTGATTGAGGCTCAAGTAAATATACAATTTGGTGTCATGGGAACATCAAACCCTTTTCTACGCCATTTTCGAACACGGTAATAATGTCGTGGACCATTTAGTTGAATTTTTTTTTTGAGTAATGATATTATGAGACAGTTTCCAAATCCATTAATTATAAGATTTCAAAGGATCACCATTAAATTTGACACAGATCTTTAGAAAAGTTATCACATGGGTGTGAGATTTGATTTTTCTAAAGAACTTGTGTGCTAAATTTAATGGTGATCCTTTGGGATCCTACACACATGGGTGTAGAAAGATCCCATAAGATCATTACTCTTTTTTTTATAGAGAATATATAATTTACAAAAAAATTGAGGGGCTCAATAGATACCCACATGCATTAGAGGATTTTTAATTTACATTTCATTAAATGAAGTAGAAGCTCATTCGAGGAATGATTGGAAAATTGAATTAGATGATTGGCCAACGTAGGACGACCTATTTTCATTCCAAATTTTAGAGACTAAATGGAAACAATAGTTGAGAGCAAGGTTTTGTGACCCAAATCGGCCATTCCAAAAATCATGTTGGATTGGTGGATCGGTAATTCGGATAGGCAAATTGGCAGAATCGGCAAGAGATTGTATTAAAAAAATTTCAAAAAAATTACTAGAATTTCTTAAAAATCTAGTTTTTAAGGTTTCCGAAAAAACAAGGTATTGCATTATGATTTTTTATTATTTTGTTAAAATTAAATAAATACTGAGAGCTTGTCTCATGTTTGAGTGTTTGCTTTCCATTCTATTCATTTAATGGTGAAAATAATATTTAAATATGGAATTGTATACAATAAAACTATCTACCTTTAGTATAATGAGGTCACAATTGAAATCACCCATTATAATTTTGGCAACAAGATCACTCACAGATGATCTTATTACAAACAATAGAAATTCCAAAAATAAACAACAAATCAATAATAAATATCTCAACTACTAGATGTCATTCAAACAACCTAATATTGTGCTTGAGAATATAAAATAAAAGAACAAATAAATAAAAGAAAAGATGCCGGGGATTACTTCAACCGGGCTTTTTACATCCCACACCGAGTCACCACATCTAATGGTGTGGGATCTGTGGTCTAGCTTCAATCTCGAATCGAGATATCTTATTTTGGCCAAACTATGTGACCAACCTTAAAATCTCTACTAAACCTTAACCCCCAAAACTAACTATGTAACCAACTTTAAAATCTCTATTAAACATTAACCTCCAAAACTAACTTAGGCTTCCCTCTAATTTTTCCAACCCTTAGTTTCTTTTTAGGTCTAGAGAGGAGAGAGAGAGTACTACCTAGGGTTTTGGAAAGAGAAAGTTAGAGAGATAAATATGGATGAGAGAGAGTGGGGCATGCCCCTCTAGGAGAGAGAGAGAGAAGAGAGAGAGAGATTGTATGTAAAGATTGGGGGGAGAGCACCCCTATTTATAGTGGATATTTAGGTTTAGGATTTCTTAAGGTTTTATCATAA